AATCACGGAACAGCTTGAATCCCAAAGAACAGTAAAGCCAGGCTCACCATTGAACCTTGTATTGCCATGGTGCACCCCCACATCACAACTCGGGCAGGGTGAGATCATCAACTTCACAAATAGACCTCTGATCGGCACTGTGAACAAGAAGAGACCACTTTTTAGTACTCGAGAACCTGATGAAATCGGTATAAATACGTGTTTAATACTGCAAAATACGCTCTATGTTACAGTCACCGCCCTTGCCTTCCAGAATAAAAGATAACATCCCAATTATGTTATTTATTCCTGTGATGCAAAGCTGAATTTTTAGCATCATTACTCCTGGGCTGCGTTCAGCCCCGACAAAACGGTGCAAAACGTTTTTTTTTAAAAACGGAAACGGTGGTGCGTTGAACACCCTGTTCTGAGGACGAAAGAGTTGCAACTATGGCAGTTGAGAAGGCCATTCTTTGTGTTCTTTTTGAAGAATTTTTGCCGTCCAGAATAAAGGAGAACATCCCAATCGATGAAGGGGTTTGTGGAAACTGTGGTTTCCTAATATTGTGATCCAACATTTGCCTCACATTTCAGGATGAAGACAAACATTTCAGGTGAAGGAAAATCCACTTCTTACCTCCGAGACGGTGTTATGATCTATATGACCTTATTATTTTTATTGTGAGCATTAGGCTTATCATTATTGCTGATCACTGTTGTTGTGCTATGTTATTGTAATATTTACCATTATATAATCAGAGGAGTATAGAAAAGTTTACGAAAGTGTCACTCCACAATACAATAGCAAAATATATAAATATGTATAGTATTTTTATGTTACATTAATCAGTGTCTAACACACCTTCCTAAGGAAAGGATATGCACCAGAAGACATTGCAATTACTAAATGATATTTAGACAGACTTAAAGAAGTTCCAGATCTATACTTGTGCTCTTATTATTTCAGTTATTTTTCCTTTAATGTAAATAAACATGTGAAAACAATATACTTGCTCTTGTGAATTTATTTGGATGTTAATTACATTGTGCGAGCTGTCTCTTTAATACCGCGTGGTTTATATACATGTTGCTGCTGATTGGGCTGACATTTTTGACACACCCACCAAACAAGAGAAAACGTATCTCAAACCCCGTTGCACACCATCTCACACCGTTTCCAGGAAACATGTCGTTCAAACCGGAAACCGTAGCAAAACGTTGCGCACCGGTTTGAGCTTGAACTTGCCCCTGGCCTTCCAGAAGTATAGGGAGGCCAAAGAGCCGCTGTCAAAACGATGGTATCATTGTAGAACAGTGATTCTTTTAGTGTTGCAACTGTTAAGTAATCGTACAATTTTAACATTTGTTAACATTTGTTTTCGTTAATTGAAATTAAGCTCAAAATAAAATATAAATATTAGATTCAAAACATAAACAAAAATTACAAAATGTTTCCTTGGCAACTAACTGAAATAAAAGTTTAGGTTTAAGTTGAAGTACTAAAATGACAAACTGAAATTATAATAAAAAAATTACAAAAGCACAACATTTCTATAACTAAAACTCGAAAACTGGAAATATAAAAATAAAAGCTAGTAATAAATATGATAATAGTATATAAATAATGCTAAAATAAAACCGTTACACACTGTTTCATACAATTTTGCCTGTGATTTTTTTTTTTTTAATAGGAGGCACAACCTCCTTTGTCCCTCAAAGAAAATATTATAATTTTTAGCTAATGCTTCCAGGACAAGTAATTCTTGCAATGTTAGCTTGGTGACATATAAATCGGCATAATTCACAAGAACAATCTTGAGAAATCCAAATGTTTATGGGAAGTGCAGCTCTTACAAACCATCTCACACTGGCCCCGTTTCATCAGGCCCTTTTTACTATTGAGCCCTGAACCTAGTAAAGCCATTTTGTGCTAAAATTATTTTCTGATAATTGTAGACATTAAACCCAGAAGCTTTCCCTACAGCATGAGAAACATTTGAGTAATTCGACTGGGAATTTTGTTGATATACAGTTCATTGATTCAGTAGAGACCCAGCTATGGAATTTTCTTTAAATCTTCCTTAATCCCTTATCAGCAACAGAACTCAGGACAAGAGCAAACTGTAAAATGAATTACTGAGTCAGACTGACACCTGGGCTTTGGGGCTATGGTCAGAGTGATAATCTCCTCTGACATTTTCTATTTTTAATGGACTGGCAGACATAGACTTCCCTACCGAAGAAAATCATTTTTTTTTTGTTGCTGTTCAATCACTTGGATAAAAGTAAGAGACTTTAAAGTAAATGTATAGTGCTCTATCATTTCTTATAGGAGAAGAACTCATATGTAGAGAACAAAGTATCCATCCATCCAAATCACTTTAATCCTAATGACCTTACTATAAACTAGCTATAATTGTACTTTCAGATTAATTACTAAAATCTACTGAATATACGTCACAAAAGAATGGCTAGTTAACTGAAGGGTTGTGTGTAGTCATATATTCCTGTCACATTGTGGCATCTTATTTTTATCTGTCGGAGCCTGGGGGTGTGTCTAAGCGGGTTGCTCTCATTTTATTTGTGGCACTGGACCCTGGAGCAGGTGGCTCGTTAATTCCTCCTCCATCCTGCCTCTTACTTTATGAGTGGCAAACTTCACACAGAAGGGGTCTGACATTATACAACCAATTTCACCCTCACACCTTCTACAGAAATATAGTCTGATGAAACAAAAAAAATTCTAAATCGGCATAGTAAGTCTACTAGTAGAGTCTACTTCACAAATATTAGCCAAAACAATGCCAGTTTTGAAATCACAAAGCTTTTAAAGGAGTAGTTCACCCAAAAATTTAAAATATGAAATGAAACTCACCCTTTGGCCATCCAAGATGTAGATGAGTTTTTATCTTCATCGGACCAGACTTAGAGAAACTTAGCATTACATGACTTCACTCACCAACGGATCCTCTGCAGTGAATGGATGCCGTCAGAATGAGAGTCCAAACAGATGATAAAAGCATCTCAAAAATCCACAAGTAATCCACACAACTTCAGTTGATCAATTAACTTCATGTGAAGCGTAAAGCTGTATGGTTGTAAGAAATAAATTCATAATTAAGACTGGAGACTGGAGTCGTGTGGATTACTTGTGGATTATTGCATTTTTTTTATCAGCTGTTTGAACTCTGATGGCACCCATTCATTGCAGAAGATCCATTGGTGAGCAACAAGTCATGTAATGCTAAATTTCTGCTAAACGAGTTAGTAATGCTAAATCTGTTCCGATGAACAAATAAATTCATCTACATCTTGTATGGTGTGAGGGTGAGTAAATTCTTTTCGCACATATTCATTTTTGGATGAGCTATTCCTTTTGCAGTCAAACATGTTCTTTCCCCTTAAGTGTGAAATTTTGAGAAATGTCTTTCCTAATGTCTAGCGTTTTCTCTAATGGAGAAGATTAAGAGACTACAGAACTATAGAGAGACTACAGACCACTGAAGAGAGCATTTCTCCTGTTATGATGGGCTGATGGGAAACTTTTCTTTGATTTGAGATCTTGGCAATGCCAAGCAGCCCATAGCCTTTGAAGAGAATGAGTGCCATCACACTGAATGACGAAGAGGCTCAATTATTAAATATGACAGGGAAGACCATGGGGCAATCCCCAATTTCCTAATTTACTTTTGAACAGCACATGTTTCTTGCTGGGATTTTTCTTTCAGTCACTTAATGGTTGTCCACATTGTAGAACCGCAATCAGAACTGACAGTGCAGTGAATGAAAGGAGTGAAAGGAACACAACTGTTTTCAACACTGATAATACTAAAAAAAAAATATTGGATTACAGTATGCGACACTGAAGACTGGAGTAATGGGTGCTGAAAAATTAGCTTTGCCATCACAGGAATGAAATTACATTTTAAAATATATGAAAATAGAAAACAGTTATTTTTGAATGCAGAATTGGGGAGCATAAGAGATCAAAAAATCGTACCGACCCTAAACTTTTGAATATTAGATTTGTGAAAGGAGTCATTGGTAACGAAACTAAGAAAATAAGAATTCTTGATCTTAAAATTAATTTTAACAGTACCAACCTTTGGATCCCAATAACTATTATTGAAATGTATGTGTTAACAAGTTAACAAAAAAAAAAAAATGAGATTAATCATGAGTCAAGCAAATAAATTAAAGATTGTTTTTCAAAGATTGGTCTGCAAATGTTCTGTTTCAAATGAATGACAATTATGCTGTTATTATGTAATGGAAGAATACATGGTGGAAAGAGATGTGTAATACATCGTGTACACTCACTAAACAAAGAGTGACAGATTTTTAGTGGTTATGAGCACTCTTTGTATATTTCGTCAGTATATTTATGCGGGATTCACTCTAGAAGTAGCAGTGATTGACATAGTGATAACCATAGCAACAGACGGGACAAAATATGTGAAAATGTGCATTAAGACTAGAGCACCCTCACTCATTTCAGAAGCACCCTCAGTGATTATTTCTGGAAGAGCCAATTCATAAAAGAACAATATTTAAAAGCACACGTCCAGTTTTGTGTGAGTGAAGGAAATCCGCTTGGGAGTGGAGAGATTCGTCCTCGTGCACATGGATCGCGTAACATTATACGCTCTCGACATTGTTATTAAGATCACACTATAGAAACTGCCTAAAATTTAAGTATAAAGAAGAGAAGAAAGCGGCCCTAGGCAGCTGCCTACACATGCCAGGATCCACCACTGCCAGATGCAGTTAGAAATTTATTAAAAACAAGCCTATCGCAAGACATCTGGTAGGGGGGGGGGCACTTGGGGTGGCCAGCCAAATTTCAGGGGGGGCCGGTGCCACCCCTGGCCACCACGTAGACACGCCCTTGGATGTAACATCCTGTATAATCCCTGTTCCTTGTTATTTAAACAGCATTGTCTGCTTTGTGGTGAAGGCTCTGGAGCTGTTGTTGCTGATGATGAGCATTGACCTCCTTTAGAACTATGGTAAGTTATACAGAGAGTTGTGGTTGCTAATCACAATGATATTATTCTAATTTTTGAAGAGACAAAAAATTTACAAAGTTAAAGAAAGGTTTTAAGGATGCAAATCAATATCTTCTCATTGCTGAAAAGAGCTTCACCTTCATTCGGTG